TGGGTCTTAAGCTCCCTTTCCCTATATATCTGTTTATTATGATTGGCGGTTGCATTGCCTCCTATCTCATGAATCTCAAGGGCGAGTATCAAATCGATATCGTGGGTGTAATTCCCGATCAGTAAGTCTTTACTTTGACATCAATTACTATTACTATTAATAGCTAATGAATTATATTATCATTTTTACCATAGTTTTCAGTCGCCATCTCTGCCCAATTTCCGATTATTCAGATATATGTGGCACAGGTGTATACCTATAGCTGTGGTCTCTTATATCCTAACCCTATCTGTGGGCCGAATGTATGGCACGAAACATAACTACAAGATTGACTCCAACCAAGAGATGGTGGCGTTGGGTGTTTGCAACATCTGGTCCTCGTTTTTCGGTAGTCTCGCCTCCTGTGCGTCAATACCCCGGTCTTCAGTACAAGAGAGCGGTGGCGGCAAAACACAGGTAATCACACCATTCATTGTCGTAGTTTTGTTTTTATATGTAGTTTAAGTAACATTTTATTTGCCATTTAACAGATTGTAAGTCTCGTCAACTGTGTTTGCATTTTAATTGTCATTTTATTATTGAGTACATTATTAGCCGATTTGCCAAAAGTAAGTTCATGTGAATTTGTATCTTAAAAATTTACCAGTAATTATTAATCATATTGGTCAAGTAATCATTAAATAATATTGGTTATTTGATAGTGTGTATTGGCCTCGTGTATAGCCTGCGCTCTGTTTACAATTTTTGCTAAATTCAAAGAGTTTATGAACTTCTGGCGGATCTCAAAATTGGATGGAGTGAGTAGTGATTAAAATTATTATTTCTGTTTATTTTGCTCATAATTTATAAAACGGCAAATGAGTCAAAAAATGTTTTAATTGATTTAACTTTTATTTATTGCAATTAATTACATGCGATAACACATACACCTAAACCTACATTACATTGTATGTCTCACTAGTATCTCAGATAACTTATCGTAGTTTTATATCCTTTTAAAACAATGTAGTTATTAATTAATATCTGAAATCCGGTTATTTCTAGTTTTAAAGTATAATGGTTGGAAATAAATTTTAATAATTAATAGTTATAATTAATTTTACAATAATACATACTTGATTAATTAATTGCAAAATATTAAACATGCCTATAATCTAAAAATATAAAATTCCATATTACTAAATTAAATAATGACCATAATGATAGGCCATATGGATGATAACATTCTGGGGTGTAGTGATACTGAACGTGGATTACGGCATATACATGGGCTTCGGGTGTTCACTACTACTACTTATATACAAATCGCAAAGACCTAAAACCTATNGTTCACTACTACTACTTATATACAAATCGCAAAGACCTAAAACCTATTCATTGGGAACTGTGGACGACTCGGATATATACGTGCCGTTAAGCAAATTCAAAAGAGCCAAAGAACTGGAAAGAGTGAAAATATACCAATTCTGCGGTCCTCTCAACTTCGCTAATGTACACTATTTTAAGAAAGAGCTTCAGATCAGGAGTGGTGTCGATATAACGTACGGATCAGTTCATCACTTCATCTGTGGCTTAATTTTTAATTGCATTTTTTGTTTGGTTTATTAGGGAAATAAAGGAGGAGATGATGTCAATGGCACCCAAAACCTCGTGCTTTATGTTCGCCGAAACGAGAGATTTCACGAAATTGAACGAAGACTTCTTAGAGCATAAGAAACATTTGCCCAAATATATCATAATTGACTGTTCAATGCTGTCGTATATCGACACGTCTGGTGTGACCACATTGACAAAGTTGGTCCAAAGTCACGCCGAGATCGACATTACCGTACAATTCACGGGATGTCCCGTTCATATCGAGTCGATGCTCAAGAAGGACGGCTTCTTCAAAGAGGTGTCCACCGATCGGGTGTTTAAGTCGGTTCACGACGCCATCACTTATATCAGACAAAGCGAGCCCACAATCGGTCAACCAATTCAAGACTTCAGCAAAGACTACAGCACTGAGAGACGTATTTTCTCTAAAGTTATATCAAACATGTCGTTAGACTCTATGGCCAGCGGTATAACAATGAGTAGTTATAACGACCTGAAGGCACCCGACTCTCCAAAGAGTATACTGAGAGACAGCGCTTTAAACACACCCCAGTTTAATAGACCCCGACGTTCAGTCACTTTCACTGGTTTCACACAATCTTAAACCTATTGTCTCTGTGTTTATAATTAAATAATCAGATGATTTGTTTCGTTAGTTTGAATTGTTAACAGAATTGTATTATTATTTATTTTTATTTACAATTTTAATTTGTTATAATATAAATTATTATTATTTACTTTTTAATTGAAATTAAAAGTTTTATTTTTGGAAATAATTTGCTTAACATGTATCATATTTTTAAATCCATGTGTCATTAAAATCATCAATTTCTGTGATTTATTAACAGTTGCACTATTAAATACAATAATATTTTATGATAAATGAACCAGGTACACTTAACAAATAATTGGATCTTGTTAATCCTATTTTAATTCCTAAACAACACAAATAGGCGTCAATCAAATTGATAAGAAAATGTTATATAAGACACAAACATCTAATTAAAAATAGAAATAAGTGTTTGTGTTGTTATATAATAGGCAATGAATTTCCAAATTTTTCTTTTTAAACAATTAATTTTAATCTCAAATTTATCAGTAATTCTGTGTTCTGATAGACACCTGACTGTCTATAATGTCTATCCATTACAAGAATTTGACAATAAGACCGACCAAAAAGTGTATCACAAATGGATATTTCCGCAAACAAATCGTAAAATATTTTTCTAAATTAAGATGTAATTTAAAAAATACTTATTTTATGTTTTGATTATAAAGTTCCCATTAAAGTGAACTCGAGTTTCTCTTTGTACAGTTATGGATCAATTGATGATAAGAATAGTGTATGTATTTACTAATGTAAAATTTCACCACTTTTGATATTAGATAAAACTAAAATTTGTAATTCAATAAACACTATTCAATATATAGGAGTTTTCCATATCAATGGTCTTACGATTTCGTTGGTTTGACGAGAGACTCAAAAT